CCGTCCCAATGAAAAAACAGCAGGACTGTACTACTATACAAGAAGGGAGACATCCACGACACTGGCAACTATCGCCCAATCTGCCTATTGTCTGTCATCTATAAGCTGTTCCCTCGAATCATTCTGAATAGGATTGGCAGAAAACATTAGATGAAGGACAACCATGTGAGCAAGCCAGGTTCCATTCAGCACCATCGACCATATCCACACGATAACCAAGCTCATTGAGGTTTCTCGGGAGTTCAAGTTGCTGCTCTGTATAACGTTCATTGATTTAAAGAAGGCCTTTGATTCTGTTGAGACGGAAGCGGTCATTGAAGCCCTAGCCAATCAGGGCATTCAAGCCCTATACATCAAGATCCTCCGTGAGCTGTATTGCAGATTCACTACCAGGATCTCACCATTCTACAAAGAAGTGATCGTTGATGTCAAGAGGGGTTCGGCAGGGTGATACTATTTCACCGAAACTCTTCAGTGCCACTCTCGAGAATGTCATGCGACGACTGGAATGGGAAAGCATGGGAGTGAAGATAGATGGTCGACAACTACACCACCTCCGCTTTGCTGATGATATCGTTCTAATAACACCAAACATCAGCCAAGCAGCACAAATGCTGACCGACTTAGACCTTGATTGTGGATTACACTGGTTGGATTACAGCTGAATCTCACAAAGACAATGTTCATGAGAAACAGTCTTGTTCCTGACGTTCCATTCACTCTCAACGGAACGACCATCTTCGAATGCAACAGTTATGTGTACCTAGGTCGAGAAGTCAACATGACAAATGACCTGGCACCTGAGTTGTGCAGGAGGAAGAGAGCGGGTTGGAATGCCTTCAAGAGCATCGAAGAAATAACTAAGAGGACAAAGAACCTCCACTCGGAACACTGTTCTTCCTGCATTAACATACGCCTCAGAGACCTGGGCCCTAAGAAAACAGGATGAGAACACTATTCGGGTCTCTCAAAGAGGAATCGAAAAGAGCTATGCTTGGAGTATCATGCTTCACTCAAATGAGAGAAAGAATCTGGAGTTCCGACCTCCATCGACGATCAAGAATTGGGGATGCTGTCTTGTTTGCCAAGGCATCGAAAATCAGATGGGCTGGACACGTAATGAGATTTAGAGATGACCGATGGACTAGAGCCATTACCAACTGGATTCCACAGGACGTCAAAAGATCGCGTGGCCGCCCACCTACAAGATGGTCAGACTTCTTCATAAAGACCCTGAATGATCAGTTTGAGATACTTCATGTTCCTAGAACGAGCAGATGCCATCAGGCTACACTAGCATGCAACAGGGACAAATGGAGATGTTACTGGCGCCCGCTCGAGCAAATCGATGAGTAATGGGATATCAGGTGATTTTGTATATGAAAGAAAGCATTTTTTAGAAACATGGAACACTTCACGAATTTGCATGTCATCCTTGCACAGGGGCCATGCTAATCTTCTCTGTATTGTTCCAATTTTAGTATATGTGCTGCCGAAGCCAGCACGAAACAAAACATTTATAACATGAGGATGTATTTGTGTATTACTCATGTAACAATAGAAATATTTTTTGTTTTGAGGCCACACTTGGTAATGCTCAGGGCCTACTCCTGTCTCTGAGCTCCTGACAGTGATACAGGGCCCATAATCAATGATTAGGATTACAAAAGAGGCAGACAGTATACAAGGCAAGCACCTTAACTCCTATTCTAATTCTCTAGTCCCTTAAATAAATAAATCCACACATATGAGGGCAGGTGGTGGTGCTTAACTGGCTGTACTCAGGGATTACTCCTGGTGGGGTTTTGGAGATCCCCATTTGATGCTGGGGATAGAACCCAAGTTGGTTGTGTGCAAAGTAAATGCCCCACATGCTGTACTATTTCTCCAGACCCCTTAAATATATTTTTAAAAGAAATAAGGCGAAAACAGGATCTATATATGTATGTGTGTGTGTGTGTGTGTGTGTGTGTGTGTGTGTGTGTGTAAAAGGAGGGCCCCAGAACCATGCCACTGGACTCCACGCCAGGCTGTGGGGTGGGTGAGAGCCCTCCCCAACCCAAGGGACCCCACACCGGCAGCCGAACTCCACTGCCCAATCACCACCATACTCCAGGCCGCTTTCCGGACAAACAAAGGCCTCTCGAAGAGCCCGGCAAGCTACCGAGAATATCCAGCCCGCTCGGGCAGAGCCTGGCAAGCTCCCTGTGACGTATTTGATATGCCAAATACAGTAACGACAATAGGTCTCATTTTCTTGCCCCGAAAGAGCCTCCAAAAGTTGGGAAAAGATGAGTAAGAAGAGGCTGTTAAAATCTCAGGGCTGGGGGGAATAGAGATGTTACTGGTGCCCACTCAAATAAATTGAAGATCAACAGGTTGACAGTGATACAGTGATTTGGGGGGTAGGGAGGCTTTTGGGTCACACCCAGCAATGTTCAGAGGTTACTCTTGCTGAGGGTCTCAATGATCACTTTCTGGTGGTGGTCAGGGAATCATGTGGTACCAGAGACAGAACTTGGGGTGACTACCTGCAAAGCATGCAGTAACCCTTTGATTTGATTTTTGCTTTTTTGGGTCACACCTGGCGATGCACGGGGGTTACTCCTGCTCTGCACTCAGGAATTACCCCTAGTGGTATTCAGAGGACCATATGGGATGCTGGGAATCAAACCCGGGTTGGCCGCGAGCAAGGCAAACTCCCTACCAGCTGTGCTATTGCTCCAGCCCCACAGTAACCCTTTGAACTATCTCCCAACCATAACGTTTTTCGGGCAATATCACACGAGAACTGGCCTCAAGACACCGCCTGTCACCCACGGTTTCTTTTGGGCAGGGGCTGGCTGCACCACGGGGTGATCACCGCCCTCCTGTGCGCCTGTCAGCCCACCAGCTCGCTTGAGCTCAGCCATGTGCCCCGACTGGAGGACCCAGCAGCGCCCCCATGGCGGTGGCCCCGCAGGACACAGTCCCAGCCCACACCCTTGGCAGATGGCGTCATGCAGCAACACTCTTTACTTCTGCCGCGGCCAGGTGGTGCAGGGCTTCAGCCACGTCTCCAAGCAGCTGGGCATCCCCACAGCCAACTTCCCTAGAAAAGGTGTGGACTACCTTCCCGCAGATCTACCCACCAGCATGTAGTGCGGCTGGGCCAGTGCTGGCAGTGGGGACGTGCATAAGATGGTGGTGAGCATCGGGTGGAACCCCTACTACAAGTCCATGGAAACTCCTATCATGCACACCTTCAAAGAGGACTTCTAGGGGGCTGGAGCAATAGCACAGCAGGTAGGGCATTTGCCTTGCATGTGGCTGAGCCAGGTTCCGTTCCTAGCATCCCATTTGGTCCCCCGAGCACTGCCAAGAGTAATTCCTGAGTATATGAGCCAGGAGTAACCCCTGTGCACCGCCGGGTATGACCCAAAAAGAAAAAACAAAAAACAAAAAACAAAACAACAACAAAGAGGACTTCTATGGAGAAATCCTCAACATGCCCACCGTTGGCTACCTCAAACCAGAAAAAGTGACTTTGACTCTTTAGAATCACTGATTTCAGCAATTCAAGGCGATACAGAGGTGCCTAAGAAATGACTAGATTTACCAGAACATTTGAAATGCAAAAAGACAATTTCTTCCAGGTCCTAAAGGTAAAATAATGACTGGCCACTGATGAAAATCATTTATTCATTTACTATTTTCTAGTATTTTGCTGCTCATACTACAAAGCTTTATCATCATATATTTTATAAATAAGACCTATTCTGCAACTGTGGATTAGTTTAAACAGTACAGTATTGTATAGTTACCATATCATGCTTCAGCTATTAAATTAAACCCACCAGGTTATCCTACTAAAAAGATTCACTTTAATAATGAGAACTCTATTTTATGTATTATGTTGATTAGAATGTACCAGTAGAAACATCTTTCATATTTTCTAATAAAATGGAATGTATGTAAATTCAGGTGAAAAGGCTGATCACTAGTTTGAGATAAAACTATTTTCAATGGTAAATTACTAGAATGTATGTATTTGGATAGCACATGCTATTGAACAGAGAAGACTTATGAAAGCAAATTAATAGATGATAGTTTATTATAAATCTAGTAGGAATAATTCAAAATGTACTTTTGATGTTTTTGGCATTAAAATGTATTATTACAACCTGAAAAATGGTAAAGCTTCATTTTAGTTGTTTCTCTTATGAGATCAAGTCATTGTTCTGTGTTCTGCTTTTACAGTTGCCTCAAATCTTAATGTAGATTTCCTCTATCTATTCTTGTTTGTCTTTTTTTTTTCTTTTTTTTTTCCCCATTATTTTATTTTATTTTTTTTTAAAGTTGTAGATTTACAATTTTTTGTGCTTTGGTTTCAATCATACAATGATCAGACACCCATCTCTCCACCAGTGCCCATTTTCCACCACCATGGATAATATCCCTCCCACCCCCATCCCCCCATCCCCCCTGTCTCTGTGGCAGGGCAATCCCCTGTGTTCTCTCTCTCCATTTGGGTGTTGTGGTCTGCAAAAGAGGCATTGAGTGGCAAATATGTTCAGTCCATAGTCTACTTTCGACATGCGTCTCCCCTCCTGGGAGGATCCTCCAAACATCCTTTATTTTCTTGTTTGTCTTTTAAAACAGTAAAATGAATACCCTCAAAAACAAACAAACAAACAAAACAAGAGACCTGGCCTCAATTAATACAACTCAGGAGCGCTGCAAGAATTGAACACAACTATAGAGCAAGATTTTCTCAGAAATATGCACTGTTGTATTCAATAGCAACTGCAGAGAAACATTTTTAAATCACCTTTCTTCCCCAGTCAAGCCATTTCTAAAGTTGGAAAACAAAATTCCTCAAATGTAACAATTACAATGTGTTTTGAAGTGATCTACATACCTTGTTTCAGTGTCTATCAATCTCTAATACACATAAAGTAGGCAATTCACATGAGGTGATATATTACTAACAAAGCAAGTCCCACAAAACTGCTATTCACCTGATCTTTCTTCTTCAGTTCTTCAACTTGCCGGAGCTGTTCTGAAGTTAGCACAATTTCCATTCGTTGCATGTCCCTCATTAGCAAACGCTGAGATTCCAAAAACTGATCATTGGCCTTCTGCCACGTATGCTTTAACTGGTTGTGCTGTTGTCGCTCTTGCTCCAAGAGATGGCAAACTGTTTAGGAATCCCCAACCAGAAACACTGAATTTTAATGGTAGGCAATTTCTTTAACATAGGACTACTAGGCATAAACAGAGCATATGCATGTTTGATTTTCTGCCTCTAACAAGAATCCAGAGGCAACTAGATCTTGGACAAGACAATACTCAGTCTACGTACTGAGTACTGTCTGTTCAACTGTGTTTCTTAGAAATATGTGAGTTATTTTTTTTCCTGTGCTCAGAGTTTTAGAGACCCTGGATAAATATATTTTTAGTTCTTTACAATGCCAGAGATCAAAGTTAGTGCCTCAAACATGCAAGGCAAGTGTGCTACCAATTGCATCTCACATGCTCGGGAGCTATTCCAAGGGCAGTGCTTAGGAGACCATGCAATGCCTAGAACAGGACCCAGGGCTTCACACATGATGCAAGTGCTCTGCCACTGAGTCACATGCCCAGCTCTAAATATATCTAGATTTAAGAGACCACACCACTTTTAATTAAGAGACTGCTAACGGTATTTAATACATTCTGATAAATTTGCTGTTCAGGGAGCCTCCAAGCTCATTTAGTTCTTAACCTCTCAGGGTAAGTAAAATATTTTCTGTAAATGTTTGCACTGTTAACTTTTACCAGCCCGTTCATCACCTACCAAAAAAAGTAGGTAGCACCTAGTCATATAAGTCAGTAACTTGAGAGATCAGTCACACTTCAAACTTTTCCTAAGCCCATTCAAGTATGAGAGGCCTACTAATTCTAACTCCTGTGCAGCATGACACAGCCAGCTTACTGCCTTTAGCCCCAAGTTAGTTTTTATGACACAGACAACTATAATAGTCTTTCATTAGTCTTTCTGCTTTTAGTTTCTCCATCTCTATTTTATCCTCTATGCTACTGGTGAACTTCTTATTTTGGGGGAGTTGGGTTTTTTGGGCCATATTTGGCAATATGCACTTGTGCATATACCTGGCTCTGCACTCAGAAATAACTCCTGATGGTGCCAAGAGACCACATGGGATGCTAGGAATCTAACTCAGACTGTTTGCATGCAAGGCAAATGCTGTACCCTGCCCGAGCTCCTTTCCCCCCCTCTCCGGTAAACTTTGTAAACTATAATATTAATACCATTCTCAATTTTAAACAAACCCACCAGCGGAACCAAGCACAAAAGCAATATACTGCATAAGCCCATTTAAAGTCCAGGATATGCAAACATATAGAGATATCAAGTAGATTAAAGGTTGCTAGGGACGACAAATTAGTGTATAGGTAGGTAGTGACCTGGAATGGACATAGAACATCTTACTGTTGTTAAAAAAAAAAAAAAGGTAAGATTATCAATAAAATTACTGATGTTGGACAATTTTCAATATTTTTAAAACCACCATAGCACTGTCCTACTGTTATTCATTGATTTGCTCGAGCGGGACCAGTAACGTCTTCATTGTGAGACTTGTTACTGTTTTTGGCATATCAAATATACCACGGGGAGCTTGCCAGGCTCAGCCGTGCGGGCGGGATACTCCTGGTAGCTTGCTGGGCTTTCCGAGAGAGAGGGAGGATCGAACCCGGTTGGCCACATGCAAGGCAAACACCCTACCTGCTGTGCTATGGCTCCAGTCATTTAAAACCAAAAAGAATTGTAATTTTGAAAGTGAACTTTATAGTATGGGAATCATATCCCAACAAATCTGTTATTTATGAGAACACTTTTAATACAAAGCTTCAGACCAGGGAGATAATAAATGGTAAGGTCTTCTCCAGCACGTGACCGTGCTGTGACCCTGGTTCAAATCCCAGTATTAAATAAGGTCGCCTGAGCAAAGACAGGTGTGGCTCCAAAGCACAGACTCAGGTGTGGGCACTACCAGGTATTGCCCCCTCAAAATAAATACTAGAAGCTTCTTATAAGATTCAAAATTCTTAGGAAAAACCTCCCTGATCTGGCCCAAGACTATCTTTTCTATCTCACATTTGCCTGACTGCTTTTTCTTTTTCTTTTTTAAACTTTATTCTATTCTGTGTTTTTCATAATGTATTCTGGCAATGACTCCAAATTTAGAATATTAAGAGATTTTACAATTTTCAGGTATCCAGTTGAGTGGAGATACTAGTTTATATTTTCAGTCTCTAATTAGGTGGCTGATCTTCTCGGTCCTATCTTGGCATTAAAATCACCCACAATGATTGATGAGAACGCTATTCAGGTCTCCCAAAGAAGAATAGAAAGAGCTATGCTTGGAATATCACGTTTCACTCAAATGAGAGAAAGAATCCGGAGTTCTGACATCCGTCGACGATCAAGGATCAGGGACGCTGTCTCATTTGCCAAGGTGTCGAAAATCAGATGGGTTGGTCACATAATGAGATTTAAAGACAACCGTTGGACTAGAGTTGTTACTGACTGGATTCCACGGGATGTCAAGAGACCGCGTGGCCGCCCACCTACCAGATGGTCAGACTTCTTCGTGAAGATCATGAACGACCGGTTTGAGGCCCTTCATGTTCCCGGAGCGAACAGATGCCATTGGGCCACACTAGCTCGCGACAGGGACAAATGGAGACGTTACTGGCGCCCGCTCGAGCAAATCGCCAACTAACGGGAACTTAAGTGACTTAAGTGAAGTGAATTAGGTGGCTAGCTGATTCTAGACTTTTGCTTTCACAAACATATAGTGAACTGTTTGCACATAAGCTGTTGTAAATGTATATATATAGACAGATATAAATAGATACAGATATAGATATCGGAGGAGGCACACCTGGAGATGCCCAGGGCTTATTCCTGACTTTACCCTCAGAAAGAACTCCTAGCAGTGCTCAGGGGGCCATATGGGATGTCAAGGATCAAACCTGGGTTGGCAGCATGCAGGCAAACATCCTAACCACTGTACTATGACTCTGGCCCCTATGCCATTTTATGTTTTTAACAGTGTATCTTGGAATAAAATTAGGATTACTATGCCAAAGCTTTAGAGTATATGAAATTCTGTTAAAGTTAGCTCTCCACTCACAGAATTTGCATCATTTCATAAGGTTTTCCCCTTCTTTTTTGGGGATGCTATCATACCACCTTCTCTTTCAGGACTTTTTTTTTCCAAATACTGAGTCCTACCGCCTGACCATGTCAGCTTTCAGCTGTACCTGTGAACTGCCATCAGATGAAGAAAAGTGCCTTGTCAAAGGTCATGCTCCCTCACCGCCAGGGCAGCCTGCACTCATGACTGATGTTGAGTGTAATTGCTTCCAGTTCAGGAAAACATTGAAGATCCATTTCAACTTCACTGATACCTGTTTACTGCTTTTTTTTTTTTTTGGTGGGATTACACGGCGCCAGGGGGCCAGTTGGTGGGTGTGACCCCCGCCTACTGGAATTTGGAGGATCTGGGTGGAGGATGCTCAGCCCCGATCCAAGTAGGCTTGGAGATCTCAGTCCCGGGACCTGCGTGCCTTTGTTCCTCTGCCGGTACCTTCATGTGTGCGGAGAGTGGTCTCAGCATGGTGGTGGCTGGTTCTGGATGCCAAGACTCAGAGACTATAAAACCCAGCTCCCAGAAGAGAACAGCGTAGAGTCTCCTGCCCCCACACCTGGCTGTCCTCACCGGGCCCCTTGGAGGGGAGCGGGTTGAGTTTTCCTCCCCGCCCCAACCAGGGCTCTGAGCCGAAGACCTCCAGAACCAGTCACCACCATGCTGAGACCACTCTCTGCACACATGAAGGTTCCGGCAGAGGAACAAAGGCACGCGGGTCCCAGGGCCGAGATCGCCAAGCCTACTTGGATTGGGGCTGAGCATCCTCCACCCAGATCCTCCAAATTCCAGTAGGCAGGGGTCACACCCACCAACTGGCCCCCTGGCGCCGTGTAATCCCATCATCAATGGCCAAGACTCAGAGACTATAAAACCCAGCTCCTGGAAGCGCGCTACCGCATTTGCGGCCGCGCAACATCTTATTATCTCATTCCTACTTTGGACAAACTAGCAGGCTACCGAATGTAATCTGCCCATACGGCAGAGTCTGGCAAACTCCCCGTGGCGTACCCAATATGCCAAATACCAGTAACAATGAAGGGTCTCATGCTCCTAACTCTGAAAGAGCCTTGAATATGGCACTTTTTTAAAAAAATCTCAGGGCTAGGACGAAGGAGACGTTACTGGGGCCTGCTCGAGGCAATCAACGAATAACAGGATGGTTGTGATTGTGATTTTTTCTTGGTCTTTTAGGTCACACCTGGTAGTGTGTGTGTGGGATATTCCAGGCTCTAAACTCAGGGGGTCAATCCCACTGGTGCTCAGGACTGTGTGGTGCCAGGGATCAAACCTAAGCCTCTGGTATACATACCATGCATGCACCCTGCTAAGCTATTTTTCCAGATCTTACTGTCTTTTAAAACCTAATTTTGCTGAACTACATCTCTTAAAGTTTCTTAATTTGCTGTATATGCCTTGTACATGCAACTGGCCTCGAATATGATGTTCATCTTTAACAAATAACAATATTCTGATGGTTATCTTTCAAAACTCAAGAACAACTCTTATTAGAAGCCCAACCGGGACAGACTTATAGTTGCCTTACATCTGGCAATACCAGTGCCAATCCCTCTAGTCCCTGGCACTGCATACAGTCCCTGGCGTACCATCGAGTAATCCCTGAGCACAATCGAATATGATCCAATGTCCATCCACTCCGATCCCAAAAAACACCATTTGAGGGCTGATGAGATTGTACAGGCTTATAGATGATCCCACATGGATCCCCAGCATCACTTATGGCCCCCCAAGCACTGCCAGATACCGAGCATAGAGCTAGAAATAGACCCTAAACATAACAGATATGACCAGCACCCACGTCCCTACCCTGCAGTGAAAGCCCGTATGGCCATCTGAGACATGGCTGCCTCTTATCACATTTCCAGGTCTAAGAGCTATCATATGCTACTGCGCTAACTTGATTTCATTTCTGATTTCCCCAGTTTAGGATGTTACTCTGTTGCCTGGTCTTTTCATTTAACAACATGAAATGGGTGACACATACTTGGATAAGGCTTAATTAACATGATTAATCTGCATCATCAGCAAGTTTTTCGTGTATCTTATTACTAAAAGTCTTCTATCCCCTCATATATTTTTCTAATAAACTCTCTCAGATACTTTTCCAGATATCAGACTTGACACTTGTACACTATTTCTAGAGGGACTGGGGTACACAGTTTAAACAGATATTACTACTTCTTTTGGAAATCTTTTCAGAGTCTGGCTGTATTTCTGACTACAGCAGAACATTTAAAAACTGTTTCCTGAAATATAAAAACCCATTCAAACTTTCAGGTTATGCTTACAACACTTTATGAAATAATTTGTAAATTTATATGACATTAGCTTTTTAGGTCCTTCTACCCTGAACCCCATCCCACCCCACAAGACAGGGATGTTACTTAAGGACATAAAACATACTGTCTGCCCTCTTTGCTCCACGTTTACTTTTGCTAATCCAACTCAAGAAAATGGGTCTGGGTACCCAAACCACAATAACAAACTTTAAATATGCCTGAGGGATAGAAGGATACCTGTGACACTGACTGATGTTGGAACACTGCATGCCTAAAACTCTATTATGAACAATTTTTGGAAATCACAGTGCCTTAATAAAAAATTATAATTTTAAAAGAAAAAGAAAATTGTGTCTGGGGTGGTGAAAATACAGTGAGAATATTGGCAGACACTTGCCCTAGTTGTGCGAGGCCTTATTTTTGATCCTTGGCAATACAGGATCCCCCCAAGTATTGCCAGGAGTGACCCCCAAGCATCACTGGGTGTGGCCCAAACACCTCACCTCCCACCCAAAAGAAAATGATCTGGTGGGGAAAGTAGTTTAAAAGGAAATTCTCAGTCTTATTCTATTTTTGCTCAGGGTTCATGCTTCGTGAAATATTACTGATGTCTTAGAGGAAAAAGCCATTAACAATTAGAAGTCATTAACAATTCAAGATTCTCAGCAGAACTCACAAATCATTTTTTCCCATGAAATTTGTCAAACAAACTGCAAAGTTTATTTAATTAATGTATTTATTATTTTGTTTTCAGGCCACTCTCAGCAGTACTCAGGACTTACTCCTGGCTCTGTGCTCAGGGATCAAGTCCTCGTGGTGCTCAGGGGTCCTTATGGGATGCCTGGATCACAGCTGAGTAGGCAGCATGAAAGACAAGAGCCCCGCCTGCTGTACTATCACTTAGGCCCCCAAAAGTAAAGTTGAAATTGAATCATTAACACTTAACACAGTGAACTGTAGGTTGCTGCTGAAGCTTTTCTTTGGGGGAGGGGGCAGAAAAGGGGATGACAGTGGACCACACTCACTGGCACTCAGAGGCTATTCTTGATCCGTGTTCAGGAGTGACCCCTCATCAGGGGGATCCTATGTGGTACAGGGGGATGTGAATCAGGTTGGCTGGATGCAATACAAGTGCTATAACCTCCATACAAATCTCTCTGGCCCTGGTATTTTAGAGTTTTTTATTAGTCAGTATCAATTTAGAGTTCTCTTAGTAACTTCGGTATAAGACAGAATACACATTTACCTTCATGTAATTCTTTCCTCAGTTTCTCAGCATCCTCCTGTAAAACTGATTTTTGAGTATTTAAAACTGCTACATACATCTCTAGATCAGTCCTACAAGATTTCTCAGCTTCCAGATAATGATTCAGTTCTTTAACCTGAAACAAGATATGATTCCATGAAACTAGTAACTTTATATTTGTATATTTGCTATAAAATTTAACATTTATAATTTTCATTATAAAACATACATTAAAGGAAAATAACACAAGTCTTACCCATAACCATACTACTAAAATAACATACAGTTGACATTATACTTAACAGTTCTGCACCTTTTTTTTTTTTTTTTTTGCTTTTTGGGTTACACCCGGCGATGCTCAGGGGTTACTCCTGGCTCTGCACTCAGGAATTACTCCTGGCAGTGTTCAGGGGACCATATAGGATGCTGGGAATCAAACCTGGGTTGGCCCTATTCCCTACCCGCTGTGCTATCACTCCAGCCCCCAACAGTTCTGCACCTTTGAAAAAAGGTAAATCCAATCTGTATTTCCAGAGCAACACTTAGACATTTGTTTATTTTAACTGCATCCCCAGCAACACCATGATGCCTTTTTTTTTAAAGTTATTACTTCCTCGGGCTGAAGTGACCATACAGCAGCTAGTGCACTTGCCTTATATGCCCCTGAACTGGGTTCAATTCCTGACGCTCATATGGTTCTCAAGTATTGTCAGGAGTGATGCCTGAGCACAGAGTCAGAAATAAGCCCTGAGCACATTGGGTGTGGCCACAAGTCCAAAAATATAAACTTCGTTTACTTTCTATATATAAAAATCATCCACATGATTCTAAGTTTGCTCTTCTTTGATACATAGGGAGGAAAATCCAAATGCCTTAAATTTATGTGAGAAGATATTTTCACAAGCACATGATAAAAAAAATTACTGGTTTCATAATGAATACAAGCTCAAAAGGTGCATAATACTTTTTATAAAATCACATATTTTAAAAAATATTTGGTTGAACAATTATAAAACTTAAACAACTAATAATGTCTAAGATCTTTACGACCGAGGAGTGATAGCACAGCGGGTAGGGCATTTGCCTTGCATGCAACTGACCAGGTTCGATTCCTTCATCCCTCTCGGAGAGCCCGACAAACTACCGGGAGTATCCCGCCCACACAGCAGAGCCTGGCAAGCCCCCCGTGGCATATTTGATATTCCAAAAACAATAACAAGTCTCACAATGGAGACGTTACTGGTGCCCACTCAAGCAAATTGATGAAAAACTGGAGGACAGCGCTACAGTGCAAACAATCTTGCCTCCCACCTATGACTATAGAATCCATTTTGTTATGCTTTCCAGTGGTGCTCAGTCTAAGTCTGGCTGTGTTCAGTCAGGAGTGATCCCTGACAGTGCTTTGAGGGACCATTTGTGGTGCCAGGGATTAAACCAGGGTTGGCAGCATACAAATCTCCTGTACTATTTCTCCAGGCCTTCCTCACACTTCTCGCACATTAAATTTTTTATCCAAAATATATGCTTAATTTTTAGCTTATTAAAATACTTATAGGCCCTCCCGTTGATCGTCGATTTGCTCGAGCGGGCCCAGTAACGTCTCCATTGGAGACTTTGTTGTTACTGTGTCTGGCATATCGAATACTCTCGGTAGCTTGCCGGGCTCTCCAAGAGGGGCGGAGGAATCGAACTCGGGTCGGCCATGTTGGCTGCGTGCAAGGCAGACGCCCTACCCGCTGTGCTAAAATACTTATGATTCACTTTCTCATTTGAGGTCATTTTCATTCCATTCATCTCCCCACTTCTTCCAATGTAAAACAGCTAGTTTATCTGTTCCACTTATCTTTACTACCAGATCATTAGTATATTAATACTGGTCAATCACTAAAAATATATTTAAGCCGCCAACTGATGCTTTACTGGAGGCTTTCAACAAATCAGAAAGATACTAGCCAAGCATGACAAGGTGCCTACTACTGTTGTGCCAGAGAAATAGTACAAGATTTAAGGCAATTGCCTTGCATGAGGCTAACACCTCAACCTAACACAGAGCTGGAATAGCTCTTCCCCCTACCCCCGCCTCCACATCACAGCACTAGCAGATATGGTGCAACTCCACCCTCACCCCAAAATGCTGACCACTGTGCTAGATTTCCTTTTGCCAGGAGAGGGTAGCAATTCAGTTGAGACTAATAATAAAAGATGAAAATAGGACCAGAGAGATAGTCTAGCGATAAGTACAGCAGTAAGGAGCTGACCCATTCCATCGCCAGCACCACACATGGCTCCCTGAGTAATGCCAGGAGGAATCCCTGAACACAGCCAGTAATAAACTCTGATGGCTGTTGGATATGACCCACTCCCCTCCCCCCCACCACCAAAAGAACAGACAGAGGTGGGGACAAACCATTAAAAGCTACCTTTAATTTTTTAAAAAAAAAAGAAAAAAGAAAAGACAAGACATGTCTGGTTCTAGGTAGGAGGAAATAAAGAGTAATTTTAAGAGTACTGAAAACCAAAAATAGTCAACTAGGGATGCAATTTGACAACAGCGGCTGAAACTGAACCATTGCACAAATTCCAGGGTGACATAACAAATCAGCACTTAAAACTTACAATCTGGTTAAGGTAAAATGGCTACCATCCGCCTGATTTCTAGTGAGGAAGAATCTTTTCCCATTCCCTGACTACTCTGGGTTGCCTCAGCTGTGAATTGCTTCTTCATACAGCTTTTCTATTGGGTCTTTTGTCAATTACAGCCTTAACTTTTTTTTTTATGTAGGAGTACTGCTATTTATTCAGGCACTGATTAGCTGACTGAATTGGGCATGAACTCCACCTTACTTTTTTTTTTATGATTTATTGAATCACCGTGAGAACAGTTACAAAGCTTTCAGGTTTAAGTCTCGGTCATACAATGAAACACCAGTACCTTCACCAGTGCCCATTCTCCACCATCAAAAACCCCAGTATACCCCCATTCCACACCCTCCCCCTACCTGTGGGGCAGATGATTTCCACATTACTCTCTCTACTTTGATTACATTCAATATTTTGACACTAGACCCACCAGTATTATTTGGGATTTTACCCCAATACTCAGATCTGCTGAAAAGGCAAGAGTAGACAATTTGTTTTCTATTGCTGGTAATGAATAACATATGATGTCGAGTGGCTACAGTAGTGGCCGCATGATTTTGAAATTCTGAAATTTTAACACTTAAATCTGAAGGGATTTCTTCCAAAACCTGCTGGGTTCCAAGATTTGTTGCTGAGTCTCTGGGATCATGGCAGTTAAGCAGCTTGATCAGGAGCCAGAAAGGCCATTCATGGGCAGCGACTCGGGGATCTCCTAGGGATGGGGAAGAAAGGGCCGGCTCCACCCCCAACCCATGAGGTCCCACGTGTCTCGTCACTGAGGGTCCAAACCTGACTGCCCAATGGCCTCTGGAAGATCAGCCTTAACATTTTTAAAAATTAATATTGGAAACTATAAAAAATTTTATGAGGAACAATACATTCTCATACTCTAAAGTTTCTCTCTTCATCTACTTTTTATTTTTGTCTTTCTACAACATTTGGGAGTGCTCATGTGTTACTCCCAGTCTGTGCTCAGGATTGCTTCTGCCTCTGCTTGGGGGAACCATTCTGAGTCAAGATAGTAAAACCAGGCCTTCCACATGCAAAGGAAATACACACCTGTTGACCTATCTTTCCAGTCCTCCTGTCAACTTTTTACAGTATTTTTATTTAAGAAAGTTTTATTTATGCATTGACTTATTTTCAGTTTGGGGCTATACTCAGCAGTGTGCAGGGCTTACCCCTGACTCCGCACTCAGGAGTCACTCCTGGCAGGCTAGGGGAATCAAATATGGGGTGCTGGGGACCAAACTCAGGGGGGGCAGCATTCAACACAAATACCCTATCCACTGCAGTATCACTCAGATCCACATTTTACTTTGATTTGGGTGGCAGTTTGGGTCACACCCAGCAAGTGTTCAGAGTTACTCCCAGGAAGTGTGCTGAGGGATTGTTCCTAGTATTGTGCAAAGAGGAACCATCTAGTGCCACAGTGCTAGGGACTGAACCAGGGGAACCAGGGTCCACAGTTTCATATATATATAGATATATATCTACATATATGTGTACATATATGTATATATAAAATTCAGGGGGGGATTTGGGGACACATATGCTGATGCTCAGGGCTTACTTCCGTTTCTATGCTCAGGGAAAACTCCTGGCAGTGCTCAGGAGACTATATGCAGCACTGCAGATCCAACCAGAGCCAGATGCATGCAAGGGAAGCACCATAACCTCCGTATTTTGTCTCTGACCCTGAGTTTATTTCCTTTCTTTTTCGTTTTGGGGCCACAACCAGAGGTTATGTGGTCTTACTCCTGATGGTGCTCAGAGAACCACATGCAGTGCCAGGGATCAAACAACAGTCCACTGCATGCAAGACAAGCACCCTAACCACATACTCACTCATTCATATTTTAATGAAGAAAATTAACCAAGCCTCTTCCACACTCAATATTTTTGTCTTATTTTAAAAATATTTTTGTAGGGTCAGAGAGAACAGACAGTTGGCAAAGCAGTTCCTTACATGCAGGTTCGATCCATAACACCAAATAATGTCTCCTGAGCATCTATCTCCAAGAGTAAACCTTGACCACAGAACCAGGATTAATTCCTGAGCACTGCTGGATGTGGCCCAAAAACCAAACCAAACCAATAAAAATGTTCTTATAAACCAAATAATATACTCTTTTTAAGACTGACTTTTCATTTTTAAGTTTTATTTTGTTTTGGGGCCATACCTAGTGGTGTTCAGGACTTACTACTGACTCTGTGCTCAGGGATTACTCCTGGTAGTGCTAAGGGACTAAATGGGGTGATGAGGATCAAACCCCAGTTGGCTGTAGTATCTCTACAAAACCTTACTCTTAGGCTTTTAGCTAATTAGCTTTTGCTACAAAGTAGGAAAACTAATCTCACTTTATTCCATACTTTATAATCAGTTAAAAAGCATTTCCCCCCAAAACAAATATCTTCCCATTAAAGTGTGTGATGTGGAGCTGGAGCAATACCACAGCGGGTAGAGCGTTTGTCTTGCAGGTGGCTGACCCGGATTCGATTCCCAGCATCCCATGTGGTCCCGAGCGAGGAGTAATTCCTGAGTGCATGAGCCAGGAGTAACCCCTATGCATCACCGGGTGTGACCCAAAAAAGCAATTAAAAAAAAAAGTGTGTAATGCCACCTATGATATGCTGAATTTCTATAACTATGAATTCTATAGATTCTTTATTCTGTTTCACTAATCTACTTGTTTACCCATAAACAAAGTATAAATTATCTTTATTAAATTATAATTTTAAAGTTACTCTTAAGTTTTTCAAGTTTCAATATCTTGGAAGTAAGACAACACTATCCAGCTTATCTTCATCAAAATTTTGCTGAATGTTTTTGTTCCTTTGCTTGCCTATAAAAATTCTAGAATCTACTCATTAAATTTTTTAGTAAAACTATTGAATTTGAAGAAATCTGAATTAATGTTAATTTGGAGATATACTGTCTGCTTTATGACTTAATTCGAGAACACACATGCATTAAGGTCTTTATTTATGGGGCCAGAGTACAGTTGATGGGGTGTGGGCCTTGCATGTGGCCAGCCTGTTTTCAATCCCTAGCACCCCATATAGTGCCCCAGCTCACCAGGAGTGATCCCTGAGAACCGCCAGTCATTTATAAAAAACTTTAAAGGGTTTTATTTGTTTAGATATACTTTTTTTCTTTATAGTGCTTGGGATAGAAACAAAGGCCTCACAAAAATAAAGTACTCTACCACTGAGTCACATCCCCAGTCTAATTAGATGTTTTTAAATAACTCATTCACATAAATGCTTTTGCTCCTGTGTTTGGGTTATTTTTCTCCTAGTATGCTATTGGATTACTCTTGGCAGTGGTCGGGGACCATAGGTGGTGCGGAAGATCAAATCTGGGTTGGCTGCATGCAAGGCCCTACCTACTATATTATCTTTCCAGCCCCTGTACATTGATCTTGCTCTAAGAAATTTCCTAATATTCCGCCCCTCTCGGAGAGCCCGGCAAGCTACCGAGAGTATTCAATATGCCAAACACAGTAACAACAAAGTCTCCAATGGAGACGTTACTGGGCCCGCTCGAGCAAAATTTTACAAGCTCTATAATTTGAGCATTTACTCTTTTCCTTTCTCTATAGGCAATTCAGCCATTTTTATTGCTTTTTTTCCAGTTCTTAGACCTCCTTTATCTTGTCATGATGCACTGTCTGGAAACACAAAACAACCTGAACCAAATTAATAAGCATGATCTCATTTTGTTCCTGCCATTAACATTCCTAAAACTTAGGCTGACAAACTTTAAATCACTAATTAGAATATTTACTAAAGGTTTGATAAAGAGGCCTTTATTAAGTTATTGCATGTTTAAATTCAGCAAATGCTTTTCTGATGGAAAACTGGTGAATCAATAAAAACAGTGAACTAAAGATTAATACATTATTTCCCCATAGTCATTTTATGTAGGTATTTAATAATAAATACCTGAAAGTTTCCTATTGAAAGGTAGTTTATCTACTCTTAAATTCCTGGGAATACATCCCTCTAGGTAATAATACTTTTTTTTTTAATTAACTGTTCTATTGAAAATTTTTGTTTCTGTATTTGCAAGAATTCTAATTTTCTTTTCTTTACTATCTCTGTGTGTTTATTCATAATATAGTTATATCAAGTCTCATAAGATAAAATGGTAAGTTTTCCCTCTTTTTTCTATTCTTTATCAAAGTTGGTCAAATGTAAGAATCCTGGGTAAGGACTGTGAATGGGACACTCTGAAGCACTAAAGACTGGACTTTTGATTTCATGCTTTGACAGCAGACGCTTCAGTTTCTGAGCTATCTCCTATTTCCACACAAACTTAATTTTGAAACTTTTTTCTTTCTGGTTTTTGTGCCAAACCCAGAGGTGCTCAGGGATTACTTCTGGCTCTGAACCCAGGGATCACTCCTGGCAGAGCTCAAGGGACCATATGGGGTGCCAGGGATTGAACCTGGGTCAGCCACATGAAAGGCAAACACTTTATCTGCTATACCACCATCTCTCCTGTCCAAATGATTTTTTATTTTCAACTGTATCCTTCGGCTGTTCTCTTCCAGGAGCTGGTTTTTATAGTCTCTGAGTCTTGGCCGTTGATGGGATTACACGGCGCCAGGGGGTCAGTTGGTGGGTGTGATCCCCGCCTACTGGAATCTGGAGGATCTGGGTGGAGGATGCTCGACCCCAATCCGAGTAGGCTTGGAGATCTCGACCCCGGAACCCGCATAGCTTTGTCCCTCTGCCAGTACCTTCATGTGTGTGGAGAGTGGTTTCAGCATGGTGGTGGCAGAGGGACAAAGCTATGCGGGTTCCGGGGTCGAGATCTCCAAGCCTACTCGGATTGGGGTCGAGCATCCTCCACCCAGATCCTCCAGATTCCAGTAGGCAGGGGTCACACCCACCAACTGGCCCCCTGGCACCGTGTAATCCCATCAACAGCCAAGACTCAGAGACTATAAAAACCAGCTCCCGGAACCACGCGGCCGCGACATCTTATTATGACATCTTATTATCTCATTCCTACTTTGGACAAACTGGCAGGCTACCGAATGTAGCCTGCCCACAAGGCAGAGTCTGGCAAACTCCCCGTGGCATACCAAATATGCCAAATACCAGTAACAATGATGGGTCTCGTTCTCCTAAAGAGCCTTGAATATAATCTCAGGGCTAGGATGAAAGAGACGTTACTGGGGCCTGCTCGAGGCAATCGACGAATAAGAGGATGATTTGTGATTTGTATCCTTCAGTTTTATGTCAGTGTATCTCTTGTAAATAACAGGAGGTGAGATTTTTTTTAATCCCACCTCATTTTGAACAGAGGTAAAGGTGTGTGTCTTGCAAGCAATAGACCTTGGTTTAACCCTAGCACCTCCAGTACTGATTGCTGAGCACAGAATCAGGAGTAAACCCTGAGCAATGGAGGATGTGGCCCAGAAATAAAGCCAAAAAAATCCCATCTTTTTCTGTAGGCGATTATCAATTTACATTAGAACTATTTGTACCTTTCCATTTCTCCATTCTTCCATTTCTGTACTACTACTTTTTTTTGTTTGTTTGTTTGTTTTTGGGTCACACCCGGCGATGCACAGGGGTTACTCCTGGCTCTGCACTCAGGAGTTACTCCTGGTGATGCTCAGGGGAACCACATGGGATGCTGGGAATTGAACCCGGGTCAGCCGCGTGCAAGGCAAACGCCCTATCCACTGTGCTATCTCTCCAGCCCCTGTACTACTACTTTTTAAAAAAAATTTTCCACTTTCTTTTCATTATTAAATATTTTTACATTCCCTTTGTATTTCTTCTATCTTTATGGTTAACAAATCCAGACATACCATAGCTCTATCAACATTAAATGATCAATTCTGGGGGTGTTTTCAGCAAAGTTGACTCTAAACAGAATTACCTTATAAGACAATGAGTAAAATCAGATCTCATTTTGATAATGAACACTAGCCTTATAACAAGGTTAAAGTATCACTATTATAATTATCTAAAATATACATTAAGGCAGAATGATCAAGTTTTTTAATTTTAAAGAAAGTAAAACTTATTAACATGCATAGTTCAGTTTCTATCATCTAGATTCTAATTTTTTTCATGAAATCAGGGCAAAATTTTGTATTTTAAGCAAATAATAAAACAATGCCTCACAACCTTTGAGGCCTCCAGCTCTTTAATCTTGTCTTCAGCCTCTGTCAATTTATCTTTCAAAGCTGCAATTTCCTTCTCCATCGGCATCACAACAGATCGAAGTTTTTCAGCATCTTCTTGGGCCTAAAGGTTAAAGAAAGAATTAAATACTGCAACTTACTAAGTTACTGCTTTTCTAGGCTCTAACACATCTGCTTGTTAACGTCAGTATAATACAAACTTAGCATTTACAAAACTGAACCCTGTCTTTTTTCTTCTTGAGGGGGTCATGCCCAAGAATACTCAGAGTTTGTTGCTGGCTCTTTCCTCAGCGATCATTCCTACCAAGGCTGGGGGACATATGGGTGTGTGGGATCAAACCCAGGTCAGCTGGCATGCGAGACAAGCCACAAACATACTGTAGTATCTCTCTAGCTTCAGAACCATGTCTAACTTTTAAGTGTACAGGGATGTAGCTCGGTAGCACAGTGAATGCTTTCCATGGGTAAGGCCCTGAGTTTGTATACCCAGAACCACAAAAATAAAGAAATTTTTTAAATGCTGTAACATTTTGTGAAGTCATAGACATCACTTCCCCCAGTAACTTAATTTAATTTGTGAGAAAAGGAAGACCTCAAAGAGAGAAGAGCAGCAGTGCTGGCAGATGCAACAGAAGCCAGGAAAAGCATTTGCAACGCCCACCTGTCCTTCACCAACTACAAGACCAAGATGACTGCCCTCTGATTTCAACATTAAAAACAGCAATGTAGGGGCTGGAGGAATAGCACAGCAGGTAGAGCGTTTGCCTTACACACGGCCAACCCGGGTTCGATTCCCAGCATCACATATGGTCCCCTGAAAACCTTCAGGAGTAATTACAGAGTGCACAGCCAGGAGTAACCCCCTGTGCATTGCTGGCTATGACCCAAAAAGCAAAAAATAATTAAAACAGCAATGTAGAGCTGATATAGGCAGGCAGGTAGATAGGAAAGGGTCCCCATGGAAATTAAAATCCTGGGGAAAAAATAAAACAAATAGACCTGAGCCTGCAAAAAGCCAACTTTGCAGAAACAGAAACTAAGACCTGATAACACCTTCCTGGTGCTGGTAACACACCCAGAGAAGGCTGAACACCAATCCCCACCCCCATCCCTCTCCCAGAGAAGCTCCAGGAACAAAGGCCAGGAAAGGAATTTCAAAGAGGACCACTGACCACTCCCAAATTTAAACCCTTGGCAACCACCCTAACAATGGACTTTTTACTTTTTACCTAGGTAGAAGTCCCATGTGGGGGCACCTTGAAGAAACCCTACAAAATAGCCACCTTGAACAAAGCCCGAACCCATGTGGTGTTCAAGCATGCGTGTAACCCGTATCTCTCCTCTTGAGATGTGTACTGGGCTCTCTCCATCTCCGGAGAAGCCCACGTTCTCCCCCTGGAGTGCATTACTCTCGATCCCTCTGCTTTCCCTCCCTCCCCTTCCTAAAAAGCCTACAAATAAAATCTGCTTTTACTTCACTGCTATTATTAACTTCTGAAATTCCTTTCTGTGAGAAAGACAAGGACCGAGAAAACCTGAATAAGGCCTAGGACTGACTTTTCTTTTCTGCAAAAAAAATTCCTTTCTCCTGTCTGAGTCCACGGCTCTCCAAGAGATCAGGCTCTCAAAGCAGATGTCAGATGTGGTTTGACAGCACCTGGTAGGGGTGACGAGGCTCTGTACCATGCTATACAGGGGCTCATCACAGCCTTCCCAGTTGGTCCCAGGGTGGCAGAGGTGGATCAGGAGCAAGTGACCATCTCTCTTCTCTCTACCTCACATAAGTCACCCTTGGGGGCCCACCAATTTCAGAGCTGGAGAGACAGTACAGGATAAGGACAGTGTCTTGCATACATCCAACCCTGGATCAAACTCCTGAGCACTACCAGGCGTAGTCCCTAATTAGAGGAAGAAGTATGCCCTGAGCATCTCCAGATATTGCCCCAAACCCTACAACTGAAAAAACATATTTTCAAAAAAGAACAATTTATTTTCTAAATTATAAAAAAATTACAAAGGCATGCGGGTCCCGGGGCTGAGATCTCCAAGCCTGCTCGGATCTGGGCTGAGCATCCTCCACCCAGATCCTCTATCTTCCAGTCCTGATCCGAGCAGCCTTAGAAATCTCAGCCCTGGGTCCCGCACATCTGGGTTCCTCTGCCAGCTCCTTCATGCGTGAGGCTCGTCTGAGGATGTGGAGAGTAACAACAAAGAGTCTCCTGCCCCTGCGCCTGGCTGTCCTCACCAGGGTCCCTTGGAGGGGGCAGGCTGAGTTTCCCTCCCGCCCCAAGCAGAGCCCCAGCAGCTGAAGACCTCCAGAACCAGCCTCAGCCATGCTAAGACCACTCTCCAAACGTTCGGACAAGCCTCACGCATGAAGGAACTGGCAGAAGAAGCCAGGTGTGTGGGACTGGGGGCTGAGATCTCCAAGGCTGCTTGGATCGGGACTGGGCCTCCTCCACCCAGATCCCCCATCTTCCAGTAGCTAGGCGTTACACCCACCAACTGCCCCCAGCACCATGTAATCCCATCAACAGCGAAGACCCAGAAACTATAGATCAAATACTGTTGCAATTTAAACAGAGCAACAAAATCAACCCCCTGAATAACCAAGGCAACCCTGGGAAAAAAAGAAAATAGGACAACTCTTCTTTTCCCAACTTTAAATTATATTATAAAGTCATAGATATCAAAACAAGTGTGATACTGGAATGAACACAGACAATGAAATACAACTGAGTCAGACAACTAATGAAATAGAATTGAGAGTTCCAAAAGAGATCCTCATGAATATGCACAACTACTTTATCTTTGACAAAGGTGCAAAGAATATAATATTGAACCAGCAAAGCCTCTTCTACAAATGATGCTAGGAAAAACTGGTCAGACGCATGTTAAAAAAATGTACTTAGATCACATGACCTTCTCTCCCAGAAGGGAGCGTACCATGACGCTCACCATAACCATGTTACCAGACCCTGAGCCAGGTTGTTTCACTTAGGGTGTTCTGGAGCAGGGAGGGTGAGACCCTCCCCACCCTCAGGGGCCCAGCCACCGCCATGCTCACAGCCGCTCCCCACATGCTCATGCAGGGCCTCACCCATGAGTTAATCTCTTAAAAAAAAAAAAAACCCAGGTATGTGGGACTTTGTGTCTGAGAACTCTGGGTTCAACAGGATGGGAAACAGAGGTTCTCTGCTCATTCCCCCCTGTCTCCAGTGACTCAGCAGTCACGCCCATAAGCCACCTCTGACTAGCGCCAGATAATCTCATCACTGGCCACCATCCAGATCGAATGTCCTTCTCTCCTGGAGGGGAGCACAACACGACACTTACCAAAACCACACACTGGACCCTGCACCAGGCTGTTTCACACGGGGCACACAGCAGAGGGGTGGGTGAGATCCCTCCCTGTCCCAAGGGACCCAGCCAGGGCAGCCGAAAACCTCCAGAACTCAACCACCGCCATGCCTACGGCTGCTCGCCACCCAGCATCACCCTTGAGTGAATCTATTCCTGGACCGTGCGGCCACAAATTCAAACCATACACCCTACCCATACTCCAAGATTACCCTACCCATACTCCATACACCACATTTGATAGGGTTCAAAGTAGGAGGCAACCAATCTTCGAGGGAAATATACATTTTTTAATAGCTACATATATAAAAAGCACACAAGGCTCAACCTTTAACAACATGATCTTTTATAGAAGGGCTTAATGGCTCCTGAGTAAAATACAACAATTTCCACACTCTTTCCTCTAAGGATACTTTCTTGTATCATTTTCAGCAGTTTTTCATAACAAACAATACAAAATATATTACTTTGGTTCTGCTTTGGGGCAGGGATTGGGGCTCAGGATGGAAACATCCGAAATATGGTAATGGAAAGGTGTAATGGTGGTGGGATTGGTGTTTGAATATTAAATGTAATCGACTATTGTAAACTACTTTATAAAATCAAAAATTAAAAAAAAAAGAACTTACACCCCATCTCATATTGTGCATAAAAGTCTATTCAAAATGTATCAGACCAAAAACTTAATAAATTATATTGAGGAAAACATAGGCAGAAGTCTTTATGATATTCAACCTAGAGGCATCTTTATTGATTCAATGCCACTGACCCAGCAAACAAAAACAAAGAGGACATTACATTAAGAAGCTCTCTGCTGCAAAAGAAATGAAGACCAGAATAAAAAATAACACCCCACAGATTGGGAGAGAGTATCTGTCTACTACTCAGCTGATAAAGAGTTAATATCCAAGATATAAAAAGCACTTCTATAAAACTTAACAAGAAAAAAACAACCCCATAAAAAAATGGGGAGAAGAAATGAACAAAAACTTAATCAAAGAAGATATACAGAGGCATCCGTCCCAACAGAGCCCTGGCAGCCAAAAACCTCCAGAACTCAATCACCACTACACTCATGGCTGAAATTTACAGGTTTGGAAGAGCCTCATCCATGAGTGAATCTGCTGAAAAACTCTGGTATGCGGTTTGGGACCAAAATCTCCAAGTTCTCACGAAGTCAGGGATGGGCAACCTCCCATATTTCCCTGTTCAACAGTGGCAACCTTGAACTGCCTCTGGAGCCATATAAGTTCATTAATGGCCATGATCCAGAAACTGAGACCATTCTCCACACTCATGAAGGTACCTGCAGAGGAACAAAGGCATGCGGGTCCCGGGGCTGAGATCTCCAAGCCTGCTAGGATCGGGGCTGAGCATCCTCCACCCAGATCCTCCACCTTCCAGTAGGCAGGGGTCACACCAACCAACTGGCCCCCTGGCGCCATGTAATCCCATTAACGGCCAAGACCCTGAGACTATAAAACCCAGCTCCTGGAAGCGTGCAGGCGCGCGACATCTTATCATCTCATTCTTACTTCGGACAACCCAGCAGGTTACCCGGCAGGTTAACATTCGGCAGGTTACCGAATGTTACCTGCCCACATGGCAGAGTCTGGCAAACTCCCCGTGGCATACCCAATATGCCAAATACCAGTAACAATGATGGGTCTCATTCTCCTAACCCTGAAAGAGCCTTGAATATGGCACTTTTTAAAATCTCAGAGGTAGGATGAAGGAGACGTT